GGAAAGAGGTAGAGCTGGGGAGGGAGCTCTGAAAGCGTGAAAGAAATGAAAGCAGCTTTAAGTAGCCTCGGGGTGGAGAGACTAAGTGCCTAAGATGGGGAGGTACACACATCGAGTGCTAAGAAATGGATGTGCATTAAGTATGTTAGGGGTAAGAGTCTTGAAAAGACTTGTGGGATGGGGCAAACAGAGCCAAATGCAAGGGGTTTGGTGCAGAGGGAGATTCTAGAACACTCTGATATGGCCATTTATCCCCTTCAGGGGGCCCAAATGCTCTGTTGCTCAGGACAGCCAAGGGGTCTGAAGCAAGGCAAAGATGCTGGAAAGGCAGAGGAAGCCTGGGCTGGAGGTGTCCACCATGAATAGACCACTAGAGGTTCAGTTGCCCTGCTTCACTCCCCCGAAGAATACCTGGGGCTGGGTAACAGAGTTGGCTCCCAGAGTTTCTCCTTCATGGTCAAGAAACTGCCTGAATCCTTCTCCCCTCCCTAACCAGTATTAGCACGCATCCTGTGCCAGATCAGACCCTGTCGGCACTGTGAGCTTCCACGTTGCCCAGTGACCTTGGAGGAGTCACATTCCCTCTGCTGCAGCTGCAGTTCAGGCCACTAGTTTTGTGTGGGTTTCCTCCCGCTCTCTCTGCTAAGAATACCTGCCCCAGATAATGTTCAGGCTCTGGCAATCCCTGCAAATCACCTTAGGCATCAAAGGGCTCCTGGTAGGACCATACCTGACGAGTCCCCCCGCCACCGCATGTCCACCACCACAGCAGGGGGCCGCAAACCCGGCAAATTTGGGGAGAGAACCCAGTTGTCCTGGGGACGGTAAGCATTTGTGTGCAACGCAGTGTAGAGGAACTCAGTCCCCCAGGGCAAAAAGCCTCGAACCCCACCTCGCCGGCTTTCTGATCCATTGTACAGGGGTCGAAACTGAGGTGCTCCTGGGGAAAACTCGGGTCCTTCAGGTTCACACACCACTGTGGCCTAAAAGCTGCACCCCCGTCCCACATCTACCGCCTGAGGGGGGGTCCTAATGGCCACGCCCCACCTAACAGGCACTGTCCCCCAAGCTAGCACCTATTCCTGGTGAAAACTGCCACGTGCGGACAAGGGGGGGAGCGGCCGGTGCCGGCACTGCAGAGGCAGCGCCCAGGTGCCCCAAGCCTCCGCACCGCACTAAGTCCCAGCTCTCCATAGGGTACCCGACCCTTTACCCGGCCCATGCTCGGGGCCGAGGCGGGGGCGGGGGTTAGGCAGCGGGGTCTTTGTTCCCGCAGCCAGAGTGCGGCGGCGGCGGCGGCGGCAAGGGGTCCGCGCCCCCCTCTCTGGCCCAGCCTGCGCCCCGCGTGACAGCGGAGCCCGCAGCTCAGGAAGGAGAACGTGGGAAAGGGTCCTGGCGGGAGTAAGGGTCCTGCACAGAGGCCCCGGTGCTAGTGGACGAAGAGCGCCTTGGGCGGAGAGAGGGGCCCGCTCCCCTCCCCTGCGCCCCTGCGCTATGGCTCTCGGCTGCGGGCAGACTTGGAGCTACTTAGCCAGGGCTCCGGCACCTCCGCTCGCTCCCCGCAGCATTTCAGCAGCTCGGGTGAGCCAGACTGCACACTCACACTCATCCAGACCCGCACGCTCCCTGTGAGGATCGCGCGGGACCCGCAGAGCTACGCTTACGCATTCGCTCCTGTGCCACACACTCCGCACCCGCCCCGCGCGGCGTGGGCTCCCGCGCCCCTCCGGCCGCGCAGCTCCACCTACCTTTCCAGACAGTGGAGATGCGGGGTACGTTCCTCGGGTGGCCTTGGGTAGCTGCAGCCGCCCAAAGCAGCAGCAGTAGCAGCCGCAGCGGGAGCTCGGACCGAACCACCGGGCCAGGAATGCGAGCGCCCCGGACGCCGAGGGCGGCGCATTCGGGTGGAGGCGGTGACATCCCGCAGCCGGGAAGCGACAGCTGCGAGCAGCCCAGACTGAACGAGCAGCACCCGACAGCAGGCTGATCCCAGCACGAAGGGGCGGAGTCAAATGCCTGACCCCACCCCGCCCCTCCCCCGGCCCTCTCAGCCTTTCTCGCTTCTGCGCTGCCCAACGTGGGTGCACTGTCCACCTCGAGCGGAATGTTCGCCACCCCTTCCCCGGCAATTCCACGGGAGAACCCCGGCAGACGCGAACGAGGCAGACTTGTGGTCTTCTGTGATCCGCAGCAGTCCTGGTCCCCTCTCAGGGCCTCAGATCCACTCCCCCAGCCCGTGAAAGTGTTGGCCTAGAAGTCGGAGAGGACCTCTCCGAGGGAACAGACAAGTCTACCACCAGACAACCTCGCTCATGGCCAGCTCAGTGGTATGGCCCCTGAAGGCTGTGGTTCTCAGAGGATAGATTGGATGGCTTGCATGGACACTGCACAGAGCCTATAAGGACCAAGATGCGTCTCCCTAAGGGGGATGTGGCAGGGGAGATGGTGGGGAGTGGGGGGCATGGGGGGTAAGGTTGGCTGGGGCGCAGAGGGTCAATGAACTGTGGGGAGCACTAAGCGCCCCACCATTGCTCTGTTGTGAGAACACCGATCATTTTTCATCTTGGCCTGGCTCCCTCCCCTTCTTCCTCTCCTCTCCCCCTTCCCCAGCCAGCAGCCTTCTGGGCTGCCTCCCCCCAGCCAGCTGGTGTGTGCTCAGAAAAATCCAAACTCATTTCCATGTGAGTGGAGGGGGATATAATTAAGAAGCCCCCTTACCCAAACAGAAAGAGAAAGGAGCATCCTGTGTGTCCAGGACTCACTGTGGGGAAGCAGGGTCAGGCCAGCTTTAAGGGATCTCTGCTTATCAGGTGCATAGGGCTGAGCTACTGCAAGTAACCTGATGACCCTGTGGTGACCCCCTGCGGAATCCAGGTCCAGTCCTCTGCAGTGACCTGAGCAACCCAGGCAACTCTCCCATCAGTTCTACCCAGAGAAGGCCAGACTTTGTATCTACCTTGGCCTGTGCCTGAGGGAGCCACAGATGGGAAATCCACTTATCCAGTGCTTATGGGATGTCTCGCCCATGTGCACTGCACTGAGAAGACAGATAAGGAGGTAGCAGAGGTACATGTGGGCCTCCAGGACCCACAAACCTAGCTGGGCTTGATTCACACACTGCAGACACCAGCTAAGACAGGGAGCAGGCTGCCCTGGCCCCAGCCCCAGTTCCAGTCCCCTGCCCTGATCCACAACCAGGAAAGTACTGTTACTTTCTCATTCCAATTTTTGTTTCCAGCTAGCCCCTCCTTCTTCCCCAAGATACCTGAACAGGCCAAAAGGTGAAATCGAGATGCCTCCAGAGATAGTGCAGGGCTAGGTCCTAGCAGACTCTGTGGGTCCTACAGCTTCATCATGCCCAGAGATACACTGCCCCAAAGAGAGGGAGGCTGTGGACAATCCAAGAGCCCCTCCCTAGGCCTGCACCCCCACCTGTGGCCCTGAAGGTAGCAGCATGTCCTGGCCCAGGCTAGCCTCCGAGACTGACACTGTTTCCAGCCCACGGCCTCATCTGCTGAGCTGTATCGCCCCCAGTGTTGAACCTCTCTGCAAAGGTAAGCAAATTAAGAAATTACCTGCCCCTGCCTTTAAGAACTGGGCATTCAGAACTAATGATAACACCGTCCATGTGCACAGCAACTCACACACACAGCCCACTCTGCCTACATTCTCCCTGCAGGCCTACATGCTCTCCCTCATTGAGAGAGCATAACCCCATATTTGAGAAGGAAACCGAGGCACAGGGAGAGGGGTGTGCCCAAGGTCAGCTAGTGGAGCCAAGATGGGAACCTGGGCTTTCTGATTCCAATGGCAATGGCTAACTCTGAGGTTGCTACGTGCTCATAGCCTCATTTAAATTTGGCTTATCTTCACAATCTTATGAATAGGTGCTACTATTTGGCTCCTTTTGCAAGCCAAGGTAGGGAGAGGGACAGTGATGTCCCCAAGGTCACAGCTAGTTATAGATGGGCTGGAATTAGAGCTCAAGCAGTCTCTCTGGGGCCTACACCCTTCTCTTCTCTATCCTAACGCTCTCAGTGCAACACACCCTTTTGCTACTGCCTCCTGTGTTAGGCTGTAGTCTGGGTCCGAATGATCCTTGGAAAGATCCAGACAGGGCCCAGGTTACCAGGTGCTGGGCTGAAGGGCAGGCCAGGGGCTAGTCTCAGCCTCCCAAGCAACGGGGCAGCAGATGGAAATGGACTGGGGTGGGGGTGAGGGGATACTGCTGAAGACTATCCCACTTCATGTCCCGGGGTGGCCCTCTGGCTGGGCTCCTCCACACCCAGCCCAGCACCTGCTTTACCACCAATGGGCATCCCTGAGCCAGCCAATCTAGGGGCAAAGGGCCAGGGCCAGATGGCAGCCCCACTCCTAGTTGGCTACAGACAAGCCAGTGAAGGTGAGAACTGGGCACACAATTTGGGTAGTAAGTAGCTCCACAGAGGGAGAGGGAAGCTAGAATCTGGGCATAGAGGGGAGCAAGTACCCCTCTATGGGGTGGGGAGAGCACAGGACCTGTGTTTGGGCATGGATTCCCTGCCTGACGCAGCATAGGGAAATCAAATAAGAATGATGCAGGTGGTGACAGGAGACTGCCTGCCTCATTGGAGGCTTAGGTAGGGGCACAATCCCCCTCACAAGGATGGAACCAGACGAGCAGAGGAAGCAACAGATGTGGATGCTGAGGGGGAGGTACATTCCTGCCTCCCCTTTCCCATAACTCCACCTACAGAGGAGTGCAGGAAGAAGACTGAGAGAAAGAAATGATGTGGAGGCTCCTACTTAGGAGAAAAATACCTTGAAGGGGTCTTCCCTGTAGGCAGCTAAGGTATAGCCAAAACCAAGAAGCCCCCATGTGGAATCAAAGAAACGGACACATACAGCCCTGAGGTTCACAGCTGCAAAGCTGCAACACTGGCCCTGGGAGCCCTGCCCAGCCTTCCAAACAAAGCCTTTCAGGGCCCTACTCAGAGCATTCCTCCACTCTCCAAGCTTCTTCTAAATCTCTCCTCAGCCCTGATTCCACAGCTGCAATTGGTCTTCAAAGGAGCGACCCACCCCTAACAAGAGGTCTGTGGGAAGTGTAAGGATGGAGGCTAAAGGAGCCCAAGCCCACAATGGACCTTCATGCTAGATCCATCCCCACTGAGGCCTAAGAGCTTGGTGCCCACATAGGCCTTCTGGCTACTATCAACAGCAACTTTCTTACTCTCCCCACATCACCATCACCCATTGCATGGGCAGAGACCAAGAAAATCCTGAGAATAGTAAAGCAAGGTGGGGCGGGGAATTAGAAAGCACCGGGAGGGCACATGCCCTGTCTACAGGGCAGTTGCTATTCAGCTCCAACCCATGGGGGCCATGGAAAATATACCCAGTATGACAGGCAGTTTGATTTTTCAAGAAAAGCCGAAAATTGAGTTTTTGTTGGAATTCTCAGTTTTAAAATATTGGCAAATAATACAAAAGTAAGATGCTTGTGGATATATAGGTCACATCTGGAAATTCCACCTTACTGTGTGCTCACTGTGTGCAGGCAAGTAACTATCTCAAAGGCAAGAGCATGGCCACAACAGCCTTAGTTACCACTGTATTCAGCCCAACTCTTGGAAGGCCATGTCAGGGCTTCGGGCTAAACCAGGCAAGGCGCACAGAAGAAACCCTTGTAGACAAAAAAGGGGCCACACACTAAACCTGACAACCTCAGGGGAGGCCTGCTTGGCTGGCCTTACAAAATCAGAGACCAAAAGTAACCACATAGGATAGGCTGAATATAAAAATTCCTAACTAAAGGCCAGCCATGGCAGGTAGTCATGTCCTAGGCTTGTAGCTTCCTTCGTAAAGGTCAGTCTCTACTTTAAATGAGCCTATCTTCTGTCTTCTTGTATCGAACATATCTTTGAAATGCCAGAGTAATCTTTTCCAGACCCCTCAGGGCACAACCACACCAGAGCACAAGACCATAGAACCCCACATTGTCATCTTGTTTCCCACATACCATTTCTATGTGCTATAAATGTTAATTACTAACTATCCTGTACCCACCAGTGTAAAAGAAGTACGTGTCTGTTTTACCTTTTATCCAATCCGATTACCCCCGCCCCTTGGCTTTCTCCTACCCCCTCAATCTACCACCAGTGGATTTCATGTAACCCTTTTTAAATCTCCTCATTTTATTCTAATGTATAAAATAAGTTGCAAAACTGCTATTCTCTGGAGCCTTTTCTCAACCCATTGAGATTTTGCTTCCTGGTAATCGTTGTCAGCTTGGCTCAAATAAACATAAAAATTTTCTACAGGTTTGGACCTTTCTTACGTTGACACCCTCCTCGGCCTACACAGGCCACTTCACTCTTCTCTCAGTGCTCTGCCCACCCCTAAACCTCTACCAGGATGTTCCCCTCAAGTGCCTGCTCCTCCACACCTACCCAAGCCTCCCTCTTCCTACTAGGCCAGCTCAGAGCCACCATCTCCTAATGTCAGCTCAGTTCACCTTAAATGGAAAACTTCTCAGAATTTCCACCACCCTTCCTAGCCCTGAGGGTCAAAACTTTCCAGCAGCATTCCATTTCTGCAACTCCGCTCTCTATCCTAGTCATTCTAGACGCATTTTTATTTCTTTGACCCTACCGTTAAATTGCTAAGATCAGAGTCTGGCCAGCCAAGTAGGGAGACAAAAAGTGAAAATCCACAGGAGGATATTCAGTGATGGACAGAATATTGGCAGAGAAGGGACAGACCATTTCACCTTCCATTAGGGCACTCAGCTCACCTAAAAACACGACAGGACCACCCATGGCTTCCAGGGGACAGCCCAGTCTTTAGACTCAAAACTGCCCACATGGCACTGCGCTTGTGGCAGGAGCGCCACCTGGTGGCCACTTCGTCCAGAGTGGGTCTTAGCAGAGACTGTAGATAAACCTATATACAGCCAAGCCTTTCTGGAGACAAACTCCACCCTCGACCCCCACCTCTA